TAGCACGTCAGCTGTCTTAACCGCGGCTTGTGTACTGCATCATCACTGTGTCTGTCACGCGACTCTGTTGCCCTTTTGGGCTTGAACTGATGGTAAAACTAACGACATTATTAACTGTCTTGATATTTACTTTGAAAGCTGAAGCTCGCGATTATGGTAAGGATATGAAAAATAATGTGTTTTTTGAACATTAAAGCATGTCAACATATTCTGTTACACCAAATACACCAAATAATGATCTTTAAAATAGCATCATATGACCCCTTTAAAACAAGTTAGCGTTAGAAAATAAGCAGCCTGTGGAGCCCCTAAGGGGACATGGTGATTGAAAAAAAATATGAGATGGGAGGAAAAATTATATTTTTATTGTTTTGCGTTCCTCTCAAGAAACTTTCCCTGCACTCGCAAAAGCACTGAAATACAGTTTTTCTTCCCAACTCATATTATTTCCATCAATATATATATATATATATATATATACACACACACACACATATATACACACATATATATATATACATATATATAATATAATATAATCCCCATGTCCTTTTAGGGGCTCCGTAGCAGTCATATTAAACATTGAAAAATTGTATTACTTACTTCCAGTTGCAGTAAGCCCTCAACATTGTCTCGAACCTCAGTGTTTCTGTTATATTGGGAATCATAATAACACTATTATCAACATACTATTATGGCATTGGTATTCAATATGTAATGGATAATGTACAGACAAAAGGGTGGATTTTTGATCATGATTTTTTATAACCAACTGACTATACATTCTTCTGTTTATTACATTGCTACTTACCAAATAAATAAATACATTAATTTTATTGATTAATAATTATTGAACTGTGATTGGTACAACGGTCAGTTAAACAGTTTATTATGCTAAATATTTGACTCTTTAATGCCAGGACCAACTACATTCATACTCACTGAAAGAACTGTTCCCATAAACTTTCTGCTTCCTTTTGGTTTTTCACACCCAGACTGAAAGAAAACATATTCATATCATGGAATGTTTATTATTTTGTAGCACAGCAGAATATTTCAAATATGCACCATTGCAATGTTTAAAGATAAATACACACACCTGTTAAAGAACTTGGCACCTGCTGACATCAGACCGAATAAAGGACGAATTTTCTTATCGACAATTTCTTGCAAAGAACCACCTAAACAACAGTAGCAAATGCAAAACAAACATTTTTCATAGACTCGGACTTTTGAACCCCACTGTGGTTATACACGCAAGCATACGGTAACTACATTTGCGCACCAATAAAATCTCATTGTTTGGGATACCTTTGGCGATGTCCTTTTCTACATTTTCCAACGATGTTCTGCCAAATCCGATCAGTTCTTTCAGAGCCCCTGTGAGTGTGTTCTGGGCCTCTTCAGTAGCCATGCTGAGTTTAGAGCGAGTTACTCGTTCTGTACGGATGACCTGTCATTCAACAGATCAGATGAGCTCGCGATCGCCGAACCTAAGCGCTGATTGGTTAAACCTCATCAGCGCTGAGAAAAGTAACAGATACCACGTGTCATCGCCGTGACGTTTCCAGCAGCAGCAGCAACGGAACTGAGAACCGTTCATAGAAATTGAACTGAAAACACTCAGCGACCAGTTCAAACAATAATAAAAAAGATGACTTTGAATCACCATAACTGACCAGCAGTGTTGGGGAAATGTTATTTGAAAAGTAATGCATTACAATATTGCGTTACACCATAAAAAAGTAACTAATTACGTTACTTAGTTACTTTTTATGGAAAGTAATGCGTTACGTTACTTTCGCGTTACTTATCAAATCTGGACAGGGCTTGCTTGTTTGTTTTTCAAATAAAAAAGTTCTATTTTTGGCAAATATAAAAGCCTTTTCACACAAAAAGTGAAATGAATAAGCCTCAGGCTGAAGGGGAAGTAAATTTACGTCTGTACAGTAACAACACACTTCAGCAATAAAACAAAGACACACAAATGTTTGTCTAGAGTAATTTGTGCTTATTAGTACGGTTGAACTGGATCATCGAAGGTCAGAAGCAAAGACATTGGTTAATAGAATGGGATTAAATACATAAAGGATATTTGTGTTGTTTAACATTTAATTATAGCAGGTTTGCGTCATATTCTGAGTTGCATTACTTGCATTTTGAGGAATACTGAATCTGTGTTTGTTTTGTTTTTGTGAGTGAGATGAATTAATGCATATTCATATTTATTTTAGAACTACAGTAACATCTTCTGATTTCTCTCAACATGGGGACAGGAGAGTTGTCAATCAATAAATTGGAAAAGAAAAAGTAACTTGCGTTACTTATTTGAAAAAGTAACTCAGATATTCTCTTGTAAATTAAAAAGTAATGCGTTACTTTACTAGTTACTTGAAAAAAGTAATCTGATTACGTAACTCGCGTTACTTGTAATGCGTTACCCCCAACACTGCTGACCAGTTAGTTAGTTATAAGTATCTATGGACATTAGAACATGTACTGAAGTACTGCATACTACAAATAATTTACGACATTTATTCATATATTTTTTATTTTGGTCCACAAAAAGGAGATCAAAAAGGGACTGAATACAACAACACTGCTTTCATTCATCTTACTGTGAATCTTATGTGGCTGTTTCAGCAAACGAAGTCACAGATTTTCCACTTTCAAGTTTTTTTGTGCGTTAAAGAACCTTTATTTCCACTCATGGGAAAAACAAAAACAAAGCCACTGTTTTTCTTAAATTTTTCACAGGAAAATAAAGGAAACAAATCTTTGCTGAAAAGCACCAACCATGACATGAGAAAACAGAAAATCGACTTAAAATGGTCCCTTAAGACGACGCTAAAATAAAATTAAAGATTTATAAAATTGAGGAAATATAAGACTTTTTTTGCTTTAAGTTACCTATAGATTGAGGCGCAACTGTTTCCAGTGTTCACATGAACATCTCCAGAATCTGATCGTACATTATTCAAACAAGCCATTAAATAGAGCCAGTGTGGACAGTGAACATGGCAATATTACCAACTTCTGTCTTTCAAACAAACAAAAACATCTGCAAACATATTTCCCCACTGTGTTCAAGTATTCAGAAAGAAACTCCGAGCTGAAGCATATTGCTTAATAAACTCTTCAAAGGGCATCTCTGCAACAAGTCACCGCCGATTCAATTCTAAAACAAAAAAAAAACGAATGAAAGGCAACTGGTGAATAATTTAATAAAGATTTCCAATTATATTCTGTTACATTCTCTGCTGTTTTTTCCCCAACTCAGATTATGCTCGGAATTGCTGAACTTTTAATGTCATAAAGGACAACAGAAATTGATATTCAATTTAAAATTTGAATAAAGAGTCAACTCTCTTCTCCATGTTTGTGTAAATACAAAAGCTAAAATCAAAGAGATTTTGTATTGATATTTGATATGTAAAAACCATGTGAAAGTGAGGACTGTGAGCACAGATGCCCTGAGTAGAGACGGCCCTTTGTGTTTTGAATAACTGGATGGTATTTCAAGTTCAGGATTTCTTGGGACAGTGCGAAGACGAGTCTGTGTTGAGAACTTCAATCATGGTCCTCGTTAACTGGAACGTCTCTGAAACCAGTGGAAGGTTCTGGTACCAACTCGGCAAACTAGTTACAGAGAGAGAAAGAAGAAAGTGTTAGTGGTTTCCCACATTTTTCAGAAGTAGGAAGAATATGAGCATTCATAATAGTGATTGTGCACTCAAAACATTCAAAGTCGTACCTCTTTAAGTTCATCCAACTCTTGACGGTCTTACTGAAGCGATCAGGACTGGCTGTAGTCATGGCCTCAAAGTCAAACAGCTGGGTGACCAACCAAAAAGAGTGTTTCAATAGATACTTCTAAAGACCATGCGTCTTGTTACATTATTCAGTTCTTTACCTTTCCAGATGGGATTCGGCCGAGCACCTCTTTCCCACTGGCCATCAGAGCTCCCATGACCACAGAATACGCCACAACACTGAAGGAATAACAGCTATTTTAAACATGCAAGTTTAACAAACACATGTTAAATACAGTTCTGAAACAAAATCTGCCTTCAGTGAAAACCTGTTAATGTTGCTTAATCTGTATGAAGGAGAAACTGACTTAATTTTAACAGGCGTGAAAACAAAATGCAATTAAATATCAATTCATCTGAAAATAAAGATATTTAAAAAAAATCAATGTACAAAGAAAAATCTACAAATGCACAATTATTTAATTCACTTTTACACAATAAATTATTATTTTTTTAAATACATCTTTTAAATGTATTTTTAAAATTACAGGACAAAAAACTAGTCGATTTTGCAGGTAACTAATGTGGGAAAACCAATAACAATTAATTGGTCAATAGTTTTTTATATAAATATATATATATTTTTTTACTTGAATGTAACAGTGCTTTTAGATAGTATTTTTAAACATGTATTTTAATCCATTTAAAAATTATGACTTTCAATATCAACGGTTGATAACATGGATTTAACAAATAAACTTTGCTAAATGGATAAAAGCAATTATCCTTTTTTTATGTCATTTTTATTAATTATGTATTAAGTACAGCATAAAGTATAAGAATAAAGTATTAATTCAACTTTCTAAAACCCTAGCAACCACCTATTTTACTGATATTTACATACATTTATCTTAAAATATCAAAGGCACAACATTTAAACCATTTAAACTTTCAGGCTTTGTAAAGGCAGCATTACATTTATCATTATTTTTACTTCAACATGAATTACAGAAAAAAAAGTGCAATGTTAAATTTTAAAGGGGTCATATGATGCTGCTAAAAAGAACATTATTTTGTGTATTTGGTGTATTTGGTGTTGTTTATGCGGTTTAAGGTTCAAAAAACACATTATTTTCCACATACTGTAAATTATTGTTTCTCCTCTATGCCCCGCCTTTCTGAAACTAATGCACCGCATGCTGATTTTAATGCACCACACGCTTCTTTTAATGCACCACATCAGTTTAGGCATAGATACATATACATATAGTAATCTTACCGTGAATTGGAAAGAGAGAAAACAAAAAAAACATTGACAGAAGCTAGAATAGGTGTGGTATGTGTTGGGTATGTGTCATTATTACATTATTATTATTACGATTGTTATTACATTATTATTATTATTACTGTTGCCGTCATCACAAGGTATTATCATCATCACCATCTTTAGTATTATTATTATTATTATTATTATTATGCATGCTAGTACTACTTGAATACTACTACTATTATTGTCAGATGGTCATCACTGTTTATTTTCATTGCTGTTATTATCATTGCTGTTCTATTGCTGTTTTTGTGTTTTGTGTTCACCGTATGTTGTATGTTTTGCACTCTTAATTAAAAAATACAAAATAACAAAATCTAAGTATAAATAATACACATATATAATGCAAATTATTGTAGAAAAGAAAATAATAATTATTGTTTCAGTAGCTTTTGATTGTTTCAGTTGTTTCTCCTAGCTGGCAATGATATGAAATGAAGCTCAAATGTAGAGCATTATACTTGCAACACCAAGGGTGTGGGTTTGATTATCTGGTAACACATACTAATTAATATAATCATTAAACGTTTAGCTCGGAAGAAAGTATTTGCAAAATGCATAAGCATAAATATAGACTCCTGAGGAAAAATGACCAAAGTGCAGATTTCACTAAAGTCTCAAATTATGCTCAGATCCCAAAGTCTGCAATCAAACAACAATATCAATATGATATAGTCAGATTGTCCCATGATTAAATGATCTGATCTGCTCTGCTATCCTTAACTCAGAACACGAAACTCTCAACGGAAAAGAAAATAAACTAAAGTAAAGAAATAGAAGTAAAGTTTGACGAGACTAGGTGGCGTTTCTCCTCATGGTTTTGGAGGAGCTGGTGTGTAAGCCAGAGCACGCTCAAAGAGCGCAAAAAGCAATGACTGAAAAGCCCGGCTAGAAACCATGACCAAAAAAGCTAAAGAGCTAAAAAGGCGATGACTAAAAAGCATGGCTCAAAGCTATGACTAAAAAGCCACATGGCTAAAAGTGATGACTTGAAAGCACATAACTAAAAGCGAAAAACTAAAAGCTAGACGCAAAAAGCAGCATCTGATGGTGTCCTGAGTATTTAAACCGGGTTGTTGGCCACATCCCAAATGGTGTTTTGACCAATTAGACACTGTCTTAGCTCGGGGTGTTGCCTGCATTCATCCCATTCAAGTGCACACACACACAGCAGTGAGTAGTGAACAATCACACACCCAGAGCAGTTGAAGGTGGAAGAGAGTGCTGGTTATTCACTCCCCCTGCCGGACATGAGACTCGAACCCGTGACCTTTGGGTTACGAGTCCCACTCTCTAACCACTAGGACACGACTATCCATTCCAACTATCTATTGCAACTATCCATAAGGATTTGATGGTGGTGATAATAATGATAGCAACAAATCAGCAGGTTGACTTTATATTTATGACATTTATGCATTTGACAGATCCTTTTAAAAAAAAAAAGGACAGAGCCAGGGTCAAAAACTGACCAAGGCTCAGGGCAAAAAGCGCCCCAGGTATTTAAACGTGTCCCTGTGGTGAATTCGTGTGTGGGTTTTTTTTAGTCTAGTGTTTTGACACCACAGCTGAGTTTTACTTTCTCATATATCTGA